GCATTAGTCTATTTTTTCTTTTTTTTTCTTTTTTTGCATAATTTTTTGTCGATGCATAATTTGTCCCAATGATTTTTGTAATTTGTAAGTAGAAAATAAATCATTAAAAAAATTATCAATTCAAAAAATAACGTTCTTAAAAAAACAGCATCTCATTTTTATACATTTATTCGAAATTTTAACTTTTTTAGAGTGAGACTGCATTCGATTATACATATTCTATATAATTTATTCACGATAAATTAAAAATAAGTAATAAAACATAAATATTTGAATCAAAAAGTTCCTGACAAAAGCAAGTATTTGTCGTAATACAAGTGACTACACAAAAAAAAATATCGCAAGTACTTCACATTTTACTTCAGTTGCATTTTTATTGTATTCATTAAGGTTAAAATAGATCTCTTTAATCATCACATTTGCACTTAGTTCCTATTTAGTTCATATATTATGTATTTTTTTAGCTTTATCTATCATACAACTTCATTTTTAGTACTCTCTCATTTCATTTTCTCAAAACAATATTTAGAAAATGTATTCTTCCGGTTTTTTAATGTTTTATCGAAAACAAAATAAATAATTCATTATTATTATTATTAAGACGTCGCAGGTCGAATATATTTTCTAATTGTAACAAAAAAAAAACACATATTATCCCCATGTGTGAAATACAATTTGAGTGGCCAAATCGCTTCTTTTATGTCACACAAAGAAAAAGGTGCACTTTTTTGTAAATATTTTGTAAATATACGAAAACGATTTTTTTTGAGAAAAAAAAAAACCATGAAATTTATTGAAGATTTTTTTTGTATTTTTTTTTTTGTTTACTTTGTATTATCTAAAAGTGCTTGTGCTCAAATATATTAGCGTTAAGAACTCAGGGGGTAGTGGCGTACATTGGAATTGTAATGTATTCCTATTTTCCGTACTTAATAAGCCCTTCGAACATCGATTTTTTAGACTAGTTTCATGTATACGAACAGACATACAGTTGATTTGTTTTATTGTTTCCGAACGAATCAGCGTTAGTAGATAAAATTAATAAAAGAAATGTGATAGGAGTTGGAACGGGAAAGAGTGACTATTTTTGGAGGAATGACTATTTTCCTTCTAAATTAATTTGCTATTGATCTTTTAGTTGTAAAAATGTTAGGTTGTGGTTACTTGTTAGGGTCCGCGGGGCAAGATGGCCGTCTGTCTGTCACAAATTAGCCAAATCTTTATTTTTTTTCTTGTACAAATATGTTTTTTGTCTTTAATTATTATTAATAACGGCAATAAGTATTTCTTCCGATTGTTTGTTGTTAAGTAAGAATTGTATATTAATTATAACATGACAATGCGCCAAGAGTTATACCCATTTTTTTCAAATTTTGGATTTAAGGGAATAAAAATCGCCAATATCTCTCTATTGTAAGTAGAAATGTGATATTGTAATTTGATTTTTTTTAAGTTAAGTGTAAACTTATTATTATGAATACGATATTTTTGTAAGTAATTTTTTTTTGTCTCGTTTTACGATAGTTTTTCGCTTTTTCTAGCGTTCTCGTTTTAAGGTTTATAGATGAAAATGAACGAAAAATCATTTTTTGTTACTTAAAATTGATTAAAAATTAATTACAACTATGCCAAGAAATTATACCTGTGTCTTTTATTTATCAATTAATTGATTATCACCTGATTTATTTTCAAAATACCCTGACACGAAACACACACCTACACAAACAATATTTATTCTATTATATTGTCACAAAAACAAGGACATTCATAATTATGGAAAAATCTCTTAATTTAGAGTAAGTAATAAGCAGTAAAAATTATTCATTCCATTTTAAAAATTATTAGACACATAATTTTAATAAGTGCTGATTTCGATTAGAACTAAAAACAAAACTGCTTTATTTTTTAAAAACCTTGTCCTATCATCGGATTTCCTCCTACATCATAGTTACAAACAAACACACAACCAGACCTGGACTAATACGTCGATCACCCAAAGAGCTGTCGCGGAATCGGACCTGCAACACATTGCACAGCAACTGTTTACCCAAACCATGTAATCAGCGTCGGAGTAGTGGGTCAAGCGCATTAAGGTACTATGACCCCCGATCTCGATCAGGAAATGGAACGGGTGAGTATTTAGTCAGTAAGAGTCTGACATTCCCTCCCGCCTCACCTTGATCGAGAGAAACCATTCAATGATTTGTACCATGTAATCAGCAGTACATCATTACAAATAAATGTTAAAAATGTTATTGAATGCACACCCGGTCGCGGTGCTTCCGTCAAATGCACATATAATCATAACATGTGTTTGGTGTTAAATAGAACACGAACAGGCCTTGAGCACGCGTGATTAATGCTCAAATCTTCTCCGTGTGAGAAGAGGCCTTTGCTCAGCAGTGGGCACTTATAGGCTGATGATAATGATGATGCAACCCTACTAAATATTGAATAATACTTGTCATGAAGTTGATACACTACTCCCCTTAACCCTCTTCGAGAGACGGCGAGTAAGGGTAGCTCGCCGCTCGACCAGAACCGAGCGGCCGGCGCTAGCGTTCCACGCGTCTCCTAATGAGTCTACATCTAGGTAGGTACCTATAGGGCTGATGTCAGCCCGGGATGCGGGATGAGTCACCGCGGCCTCGGCCCAGAGCAGAGAAGAGAGAAGACATAATATGATTAATTTCCCATGACAAAAAAAAACAAACTCTCTTACACTTGGTCCTTGATACTAGGTATGTCATTTCAACAAGTAGGGAAGTAAGTAACCTACAAATACTTATTAGAAGTAAGTATCTTACTTATATTGAAAATGTGAAAGTTTCTCAGAATGTATGGATGTATGTTTTTATCCTTTTACGCAAAACGACTGGACCGATTTGGTATGTAGATAGGTAGATCAATTTTTTTAATCAATAACATTTCATAGCATTTTCGTCAACTTACCACGCATCTAAAGCCGCGGGCGGAAGCTAGTAAGATATAAATTCGATTTGTAGATACTTGATAAATCTATGTGGCACATAGTCCTATAATCAAATTTGTCTGGTTCTTGAGTTAAAGCCAAATATTTTTTTTTTTTATATAGGTATCGTTCGGTCGTTCGGTAAACGAGAATATGGATAACCTGATGATAAGCAGTCGATGCCGCCCATGGACAACCACACCACTAAATGAGTTACAAGTTGGCTGTCCGCCTTCTGGAGATTTGGCTCTCGGAGATTTAGCAATTAAGTAGAAAGGGCTTGAACGAGGGGAAAAGCAATTGGGCTTCCGGCAATTGCATGGCGAAACTCAACGTTGTGGCTATTTAACGCCGGTTTTGCTTGAGGCCGTGGTATCACTCCACTCGAGCCGACACGTGCTGAAGCCTGGCTCTCCATGGGAACTGTAACTTAACCAGATACAGGCACATTTCAAAAGTCAAAATAGAATAATTGTCCGTCAATCTGTTCGTTAGTGAAGTTAGCTCGTTCCAAGGTGCAGAGTCGAATGGAGAAGAAGGAAAAAAAACGCCATCGTTACCAACTCTATAAAAATGGTTGTAGGGATGTAAATAAATGAAACGATAGCACTGTACCCAGGACAGGAATTACTCCTGAATGAATTAGTCCCTGCTCGGCAGACAGATTTAAGACAGTGAGACAGTTTTTTATGTCTAAGGAATACCTGGTGGTAAGTAATCAGCGTCACTCATGGTCTCCCAAAATACCAAGAAACTCCGTAGTTTTAGGGATTTGGGGAAGGGGAAGGGGAAGGATTAAGCCTTACCGGAGGCTAAGCTCTCCTCTCCTCCTAACCTCTGGATTTAAGAGTAGAAAAAATAAAACAGTTTTTTAGAACTTTCCTCTTTTTATTTAGTTAACAGTCGCAAAATACATTATAATAATTAAACACTTAAAATAGGTATTTACAAATACGGGATCATTCTACCTACGTAGGCGAATTCCATACACAAACCATACAAAAATTAGAAAGCAAATACATAATACTTAAAATGAGAAGGCAAAGGCACAATTTACAGGATGAACTTTTAGTAGAAATTCGTCAAAAAAACAAAGAAAAGAATATCTACGAAAAGTTAAAAACCAAAAATCATAAGCGAATTCTTTGAAAGACTCCTCCGACAATTACAAAAACTTTTTATAAAAAAAAGAAGTAGAGGGTTTTCTTATAAGAGAAAAAATAAGTAAACAAAATACTAAAAAAAAATTATTAAAATTCGCAAAAATTCTTGGTCAGCAAATTGTGTCTCGCTAAACTTAAATATTAAAGGGAATATTTTTGAGTTAATAAGTACTTTATATGTATTGTCATTTAGTCGCCCTAAATACTAAACGAGAATCATATAAAAATAGCCAGAATGCTAAACTTACGACAACATGATAAAACAAACAATCTGTCAAAGTTACCGCAAACAAAAAAAAAATAACTTTGACAAAATCAGAATTATTGTATCTGTCGACTGTCGAACTTCTTAACGTTCATTTTATGTAAAATATCGATAGAAAAATTAAAAAAAAAATAGCATATTAAGGAAAAAATCAGTCTGACAAAAATAACACAAAAATGAGACCTATAATTAGGCACAAGACTTAGATTTTAATAAAATAAATACCTTTGGCTTTGGAGTTACACATATACGCCTACCATTTCTAAATAAGCAAAGAAAAATAACTAAAAAACAACTCCAATACTAAAAAAAACGAAAAATAATACACTACAAAAAAAAAACGGAAAAATCACAACGATCTATCGACATTATTGTATCTGACAAATCGACATCGTTGCCGTAAAGCAAAACCATTGAATTAAGAATTTAATTTAAGTATATTTAGTAAGACCTTCTGAAAAAAATGCTTATATGTAACAGGAGATTGTGATGAAGATGATGATGATGATGATAATATTTTTAAATAAATAATAAAGGATCAAGAAAACACGGGACGGATACTGAAAAGGTTTTGTTATACTTAAAAAGTTGTCAATACCGATTTTTTTACCCTCAATGTGGGTCTTGAAAATATTCGCAACAGAAATTTTAAGCGGACTTAGCTTCTAAAACTCGAAATCACACAATTGTATAAAATACCTATTATTATACTTAACATTAGACACCACACTGTAAAGTAAAAAAACACGGCGTTTAAGAGATCAAAGTAACTAGATGGATGCACAAACCTTTTCCTTATCCTGTAGTATAAATCAAGCTTTGGTAATACACTTAAAACATATTTAGATACGTCTAAAAAATTCTGTGTCGACTTTTTAAAGAAAAACAAAAAATCATAAAAATTATCATTACAATCAAATTTTCAATCCATATCTAAATGAACGTTTTAAGAAAATTATATAATTAAAATAATAATCTACGATAGCGCATACACACCAAATATTTTCTTCTAAAAACAGTTTAAATTGAATAAAATGATAAAAATGACTAGAAAATTTTAAGAAAAAAAATTACACCAAAAAATTCGAAAAAAAAATAGATTTTCATTTTTAGTTTGTATGCGCTACCACCCCCTTTAACGTATCTCCCCTTAGACTTCCACCTTGTAGGGGGATCCGGGGATGTGTTCATCTCCCCATTTGACGATAACGATGTAATCTCCCCTGTCTCTCACGACGTACCAGCATTCATAGTTGTTCTTGCCTTTGTGTTTAAGCTGGACCTCATCACAAGGACCCTTGGGTCCGTAGATACCTACGTAGAGGATGTTGTTACCTGAAGAAAGAAGATGGAACTGTAGTCTCTGCCTTTTATGAATTCATTGAGGCACATTAATGGATTCAAGCTCCAACGGACCCTCAACACAATTGATAGAAGTCTTTTATTCAAATTTTGGGTTGAAATTTAGATGCCAATAATTGTAAGATTTGAATGAAAGACTTGTTCAAGTTTTTATTTCTGTAATTATTGTCTATGCTAAGATGCGTATTTGCGCATGTCTGATCAAAGACCAAAGTCTTGTCAAGACCAAATAACGATAGCATTCAAATCAGGCATCAAGTGCTTATAACAATATATTATAATTGACAACGATTTTATAATCTTAAAAGTATGGAACTACAATTTTATACTTTATGGAATAAACGATGTTAAAACTTATATTGATGGCTTTTATTATTGGTTTATCTAATAGCCGTATTTCCAGTAGAACTTAAAAAAAAATGTTGGTACCAATCTCTTTCACCGCGTAAAAACCTTTGGTGTTGCAACTTTCAATGTGCGGCGCCTATTGCTAACCATCTCATGAGCTGTCTACTGTCTACTTCATCACCAGACCAGAACCAAAAGCTCATCTTTTTCTAGTTTAGAAGACAAAAAGCAGTCGTATATCCTTATGGTACGCAACCAACACTGCCCATAAGCACCCAAAACCAAAAGTCCGTTACTAGTCTTATAAGAAAAAATACGGTCTTCTCTTGAAGGTTTAAAAGTTACTTAGTCACTTGAAAAATTCTTACCAGCATCGCCAGCGTGCACCGTGAACTGGTTGTGCTTGTTAAGGTACGCCTTCTTCAGACCCATGCCCTTGCTGGTGACCTTGCTGGCGTCAGACTTGAAGTTCGGCAGTACTGGACCGAGCTTCTGCATGGACTTGGCGACTTTCTGGACAGTTTCAACTGTCACTGACGATGTTTCCTGAGCTCCTACTTCAGCGAGGTTTGCACCTGTTGGAAGGAGACGGGTTCGAATTAATAAGTAAAGATAGGAATTTCATAAAAGGTGTTTCAGAAGACGGGATAAAAAAACATTCGTTTTATATCAGATATAAGTAGTAGTAGTCTATTTGTAGTAATTATAATTTTTTATGTGATAGGTCGGCAAACGAGCCGACGCGTTACCTGGTGGTAAGCAACCAGCGCGACCCATGGGCACTCGTAATACAAAAGAAGTTACTACAATTGCGTTGCCGGCCTCTTGTGAGTTATTAAGGATTTAGGTGTTTTCTGTGAAGATATGGAGTGATATTCATAAGCTGATGGTTATCATTTACGGAAGACATTATAGAGAACTTTGCGATGAGAAGACACTGAATAGACTATCACTATACCTACATATAAGGCAAGGTCTTTTCCCTAAAAGACAAACAAAAAGAAACTCTTTTCAACTCACCAGTAGCTTCAATCTTGAACGGTGATCCAACGATGTGAGCACCGTTGTACTTTATACTCATGTAGTAGAATCCAGGTGCGAGAGGTGTGTAACGAACCTGCATACGAAAATGGAACTTATTGTCATATACTATTAAAACTAAATTAGCATCTCATATGAAAGGTAAATTTGAATTTCTTTCTCTGTGCAATTGTTCGATATTCAAACAAAAATATTGTTTTGTGGGATAATGACATCAATTTTGATTGAAGAGTTTAATCATCAGATTAATAAGTATAATAGTGGTTTGGGGGATAATGACGAAGAATGATATATGTATAAGATATTTTTTATCATCATGATTAGTGTGAGGTGATTAGACGAATTAATTCATATTAGATTAAAAAATGATTCAATGAAAGATCAATGAATTTTATTTTTATAAATAGGCCATAAAAAAGCACTTCTACATATCAACATTATATAAAAAATAAAGATGAATCTGGAATTTCCTATCTGACCACTTTGAAGAGAAATTGTGGATTACAATTTTAGTGAAAAACAAATTATTTATGTAATATTAAAAATAATAACTAAGTATATTTTTTTTTCTGCTCCTGCTTCTGCCTATCTATTTTCTTTAATATCCACATCTTGGAAGACAATCGCACAGACTGAAAGACTTATGTATATTGACAATTTAAAATGTCTTTTTGTGATTTAAGCCAAACTTTGATCTTTAAAATAATTCTTAATCTCCTGAAATCGAACTATCGCCTTACCAGCAATAAGCTTACCTTGTAACCCTCATCCACGTCTGTGCAGTCCATGGCGACTCTTGAAGGTCCATCCATGGTAACTGCCAGAAGACCCACACCAGCATTGCAGGTGTCGATGATCAGATCCGTCTTCACACCTGCAAAATAGAGGAATTATAAATCTTCTGTTTTAATATACGGCTTTGGTTTAAAAGGATTGCAAATACCCGATTACTCCCTTTACTTTTTTTCTTTCATAGGTATATGCCTAACAAATTTATACAAATACAGTAAAAAAAATGATAAAATGGGTCCAAGCGTTGGAGAGTTACGCTTACCAATTTACTGATGTACAGACTAAAAATTTCTTTTTTGTGATTTAAGGAAAAGTTTGACCTTACAATGAATTCTAAATCTGCTCAAATCGAACTATTATTAAAACTAAAACCTATTCACGATTAATTTTTTGTTTTTGAAACTTATCTATACAAATATTATAAAGAGGTAAAATTTGTAAGTTTTTAAGTTTGTTTGTAGGAGGTAGTCTTTGGAACCGCTGGTCGGATAGCCAAAATTCTTCACTGATAGATAGCTACAATGTTCCTGAGTGTTATAGGCTATTAAACATAACGCTACGATTAAATGGAGCCGAGCAGCGGGTGAAACCGCGCGAGAGTAGCTAGTTTATTACCAGCTACTCCATACTATAGCGGCCATTCTAAAGTTTATTTAATGGGAAATATTATCACATTGCTTCTCTCATCTTAGATAGTGTCTCCAGACGAAGTGTCAGACTCTAACTGACTAAAAACCTTGTTTCGCTATTGGCCAGAATCCGCGAATCCGCGATGCAATATTGCGATTAAATCCGCAACCCTTTGAGAATTCCAAGAGACGATCTCCGGCCACCGTAAGCGCGGGTCTGCGGACGGCGAGTAAGGGTAGCTCGCCGCCCGACCAGAACCAGACCCGAGCGTACGGCGCGTAGCATTCCGCGCGCGCCTCAAAGAGCCAATAGACCATTACAGACGGGGCCTTATAAATAAGGGCTGATGTTTAACCCCGGCCGGTTGCGGGGTAGACGCCTGATACTGCCTCCCGCCCTACCCTGAGCGAGAAGTCAATTAATGATTTTCCCTCACAAAAAAAAAAAACCTTTGAGAATTCGACTTTCATGTAAGATTTTAATAATTAAATCATTTAAATCAGCGAATGTAGAGATTGTGTCATATTATTTTTTAAACAGAAGGTAAATATAGGATTGGATAGGTGAAGCAGTGGGCTCTTCTCATATTTTATGCTTTAGTGGCATTGATGACTGCACCTTAGACCCTGGTGACAATTTCACAGATTAATTTATAATTCAACCAAGTTAACTTACCAGTCTTGACTGCTCCCAACCCAGGTCCATGAGCGTGAACTGCTGCAGGGTCAGCGTCATCTTTTCCGACCTGGATAACAAATACATCTTTATAATGATCTGATTTGAATTGTCAAGAGATCGATAGGTGTGTGAGTGCCGAATAAAGTTTCGAAAAAGGATAATTTTTCGAATACACGAACAAAGAATTTTCGATTTTTGAATAGTTCTTTGGAAGATCCACACATTGATGTTCCGGGTCTTGGTGTGACATTTATGTAAAAATAAAAGGTTGTAAAAACACAAACGACACGAAAAAAATCCTTGAATCGGGAAATATTTATAGTTATTTTTTGTAATTTATAACGATTTCGTTTTTATATGGCAGTCTGAGTAAACATATCCTAAAACTTTTCTCCAATTTATTAATCAGTTAGGCTATCAGAAACTTTATTTGAGATTGTAAAAAAGGCCCCAAAAGCCAAACTATTGTATTCATTCACGTTATACTTAGTTCCACTCGTAGCATTACAGTGGTAACTAACGCCATCTATGAGAATGAACGGGAAACATTTTTAAGGTAATTCCAGCCTTGAGTTCCGTCATCAGTCTATGTTTGTATGGTTTTTAAATATTTGTTTATTACAGGAGATAAGATAACGTGGTATTTGTAAATAAAATTAGTGCATTGTGATTTAGGTTAAACAAGCGAATGTTTTAAAAGTTACAGCTTAGCCTTTACTAATTTAGCTAGATGTAGATTACAGAACATCATCAGCCCATAAGTGCCCACTACTTAGACAAGATTTGAACTTCAATCGCGTAAATAATTAGAAATTATAAGACTAGGTTCGAAACTATAAACGTAAAAGTCGGGCGCCTTAACCTCCGGGCTACATACATTACGTAGAAATAAAAAAAGGTTTAAGTCAATATGCAATATGAGGACTTTTAGCCAGTTCACCCGATCGTGATCATACAGCGACACAGCAAAAAATTGCGTTGATAAAATTTGTGAAAGCAAGTACGAATCTAAGCTTCACATTAAAATTACTGAGTATTTTTTTTTATATTGATCGACCTGGTAACCAAGTCCTTAACAACTCTTAAAAGTTGGTTTTGTGATCTCTGACTTAAAACAAAAATATTATTCTTTATGGAATAGGAACACATCGGAAGTGTTTATTCACGCTGGTATTCTGAAGCACGAGTCTCTCAGACTTGCTAAAATAACATTTAAATAATCAACTAAGTAATTAAATCACAAACCTTGATCCTCAATGGAGAAGCAGGAATATGGACTCCATTGAACTTGACGTTGATGTTGTGAACACCATTCTCCCTTGGCATGAACCTGATGCTGTACTGGTCTCCGTCTATGTTCTGGATGAAGCAGTCGTCTGTCTTGCCTGATGGAGCGATCACCTGGTGGAAAAAGATGCAAGGAGATGATTATAAAAGTATAACTTTTTTTGTAAGATCGTGAAATGACTGCTCCTGCCCTAAGTCTTAATATACATAATAAAGGGAAAATATTTCATTTAAATTAGGTATATAAATACTAAGCGTGAAATTAAATCGATCAATAAGAGTATTGTTATTTTTAGATACTTTATTAGATTTATTAGGGACAACAATTTGCCGGGCTTGCGGGGTACAGTGCGGCCGACGTATCTTGGCGAGTCTGAAGTTAGCCGTTTGTTTGCGCAATGGATCTTTTAGGAACAAAATTGTATACTGCGCAGCTAATCGGCTAACTTCAGACTCGCCAAGATACGTCGGCCGCACTGTAAGTGCAATGGGTCACAGCACCTCGGCCAAAAACAGGAGATGGAATGGGCGTTTTTAGTAGTTAAGAGTCTGACACACTCTTTCATCTTATCCTGGGCGGGAGAAGTAACTTGATGACTATCCCCTGACAAAAAAAAAATATTTGACCCAGTTATCATGCCAATCTTGGTTTTCTCCTAATGTAAGACGCTATGCATTATAGTTTAAACACAGTGCAATTTTTAAGAATTTACCTAAGTCATAAAGCTCACTATTGCATACAGTTTATCAATGTCTCTAGGCAATTAGTTTTCATATTCTTACAGAGATGGTCAAGGAAAACTCAGCCTAGTTGTTCTTACATGCCTGTATTCCAACGCGTCTTGCTTCCTTTTTTTGACCATCCCTGAAGGGCAAGTTTTCCGCACCCCATATTAATTTTTATGGCGCAACGTGGCAAAAGTTTGCTACAATATTCATCGGACACTGGTACTCTTATAAAATATTAGTGCCAAAATGATTTATTCTACAACAAGCTGGTCACGTGCGGACAGTCCGTTTTATTGCATTTTTTTGTCCACGAAATCTGGGGTCAGGCACACTGTGCAAAAATGTGTAGATATTGTTATATTTTTTTGGTGTAAGAAGGTTGGTGTTTTCTGTTATTTTTTTTTGTTTTTTAACCTGTCATGTGTAGGTACTTGTCTATTTCACATGTCTGTTTGGGTAGGGCTATACAGTTTAATTGCTTCCCGTATTTTTTTTGGACAATGCTATGGAAGAAGTAGCCGTACTGAGTCAATATTTTATCAGAGGCAAATTTTATCAAATCATTTTTTTTTTATTTTAAAGAGCTTAACTTTGTTTGCTTTCCGTGGTTTTTGGTCAAGGATGTGTTTTTTCGCCATAGTAAATATTTTTTCCGATTAACGTAAAATCTACTCAACTCAAAAACATCAGAATGATCTCTTTTAGAGTGACTGCTAAAATTTTCCTATTTCTAAATTATTTCATAATTGTAATTGTGTATCGATTTACAATGGTTATATTAAAGTAACAAATTATACTACTAGTGAAACAATGAAACAATGAAACAATGAATTTATTTTTGCAAATAGGCCATAAAACGGCACTTTTACGCGTCAATTTATATGTGAAAAACTAGATGAAGCCGGCATTTCCTATCTGACTACTCTGAGAAGAAATGCCGAAACAAACTCAGAGGTCAGTCTCTTTTAGTAATATCTTAAATATCATTACTTTAGATGCAGTTATTGTTTGGTCTTGAACTGACCTTTAATATCCATCCTATCATAATGTACTCATTTCAAACCCAACAAAAAATAAATCAAAATAAATATCACAAAATCAAAAGTCGCACAGTGAGCTCGAATCTTCGCGAATGTGATCAAAAAAATCACCCTAAACGTGGAATAAACGCACGTTTCATACTGCACAGTGGTCCATCGATCATAAATCTTGGACACAGCCGGACATAGGCGATCGTCATGTTCCCACGATAAATCAAAACGAAGTTAGGGTGCATTAGAAGATATTGTCTAGTTTTCCTTATAAATGTTTAAATTTATCTTGTACTTGTGCGAAATATGGTGGATTTTAATAACGGTTTTCTGTTTAAATTACTTGTTTGTAAGTATAAAACCCTAGATTATTATCACTGAGACCTCTATATAGGTAAGTATTGTTATAAAAATGTCACTTGATGATTATTTAACCCAATTTTTCCCGTTTAGGTTAGTGTTGAGGAATACTTGTAAGGAATAGAAATAAAATTCGATCTGACATATCGTATGCTTAATAGAAAAGTGGCCTAACTCCAAAAATAAGGTATCTTAATCTTTAAAATTATTTTTCAATAATAAGGTTCAATTTTGAAATACCTACCTACCTACCTTTCATGTGTTAGTTCTGTTTTCTTTTAAATTATTTTATATATTTAGATTTTGCGATATTTCTATGTTTATAATATGTTTGAGATCGAACGTAAACTTTTTAATTTTTCTTAAAAAGTTCCACGAAAATCTCACTTTAGTTGTTTGAGGTTGATTGTCTGAAAAACATTTATATTTATTTAATAAACCATTACTCTCCCATGTTATTAGGCAAACTAGCAACTGAATAATATAAACAATATCTTTATTGGCTTGAGAGCATAGGGCTTAACTTTTCACAATGTTTAATACAGAATTCTTAACTTTGGATTAAGGAAAATAACATCGTAAACTATTGCTTTATTTAAGTGAAGAATCAACCCTTTAACTTATCCTTGAACTAGATTTATCTTCCAAATCGTTGATGCGACTATTTTACAAACATATAACAAAAATGCTGGTATCAACATTACACTTCACTTACCCTGCCATCCAAGCTACCCTTGGCTCCATTGAGGCGGATGTAAAACTGTGTTGGTTTGTCAACTTGTGCTGAGTCAGGGAACTGAGCCACCTCCAGAAGATGGGCATCGCCAACAGCTGGCGAAATGTAGACCTTGAAAGGAGAGTCTGGGATGTGCTGCTCGTTGAATTTGAGACCGATGCGGTATTCACCTGAGGGGAAAAGACGGTGGTTAGATTTTTGAAAAAGAAAAAAGAAAAGCAAGTAGGTAGGTATGGGGTTACATGTTCTTTTAAAGGTTTTGTTAATCATTTTACTGGTTTTCTAATTAGGTTTCGACGGGTAAAATGACCTTGAAACAGATCATCTTATTCAAAAAACCTAATTCCTATAGCCCTTGGTTTTGTTTATTGTTCTCATTTTGTTTTTATATAGAGTACTGTCCTACATTAGGATTTTCTTCTATATCGTAGGTGCACTAACAAACATACAAATTCACATATACATCACAGTCAGACCCGGAAAAACAATCTGTGGATCACACAATGAGTTGTTCCGTGCGCGAATCGAAACCGCGACACGTTGCACGGTAGCCAGTTGCCCAGCCACCGCGCCAACCGTGCAATAAAAATTAATCTGATTACTCTCTCGACTGTCTAAAAAACAATCACAGATATCTAATACCAAATTTATCGATACAAAAGTCAAACAAGATCCGATCCGGAAACGTCCCACGGCCTGATACAACAAAAAACCGGAACACCCAATTAAATACGGAGACAATTCGTATTCTAATACGGCCAGCCACCCAAAAACATCGACAAATGTCCTTATAAATTCGGTTAATTCGAAAAAAACTGACGAAATTGCAAAAAGTTCTGCTTGATTTGTGAAAAAAGAGGTATCATGTCGCTTTGTATAACGTACTTACTAACGATGCGGCCAATAATTCTTTGTTGACTGACTTGAAATATTTAAATTTTCTACGTTTATTCAGGGTTCTGTTTTAGTTTTTGAGTTACAAAATCTTAGCTCGTCTGCCTCTGTATTTTAGTAAATAGATCTTGGATCAATACAGTCTTGATTATGACAGTCAAAATTATTGAAAACATTTTAATGTGTAAATCTAATAACTTTTTTTAGGTATCTATGCATTAAATTTTTAGAAAATTTAAGTATAGTTAAAGTCAAGTCAAAGTTTTCTTTTTATGTGATAGATCGGCAAACGAGCTGACGGATTACCCGCAATAACGGAGTAGTTATGAGTGCGTTGCTGACCTTTTGGGGATTGGAGAATTCTGAAGATTTACGGATTGGATGAGGGGAAGTATTGGGCCTTCGGTAACCTAACTCACCCGGCAAAACACAACGCTGTGGTTGTTTCACGCTGGTTTTCTGTGAGGCCGCGGTATCTCTCCGGTTGAACCGACCCATTTGTGCTGAAGCATGGCTCTCTCACACTTTTATATATTCCAATAATAAATAAATTGACGTCATAACTCAGTATTTCACACAAATTTCATAGAAAAGTACAGTTTTTGACATTTGGATAAAGTATTGAATTTGGCTAGTTGGAAACTACCGTATTGCTTGCAATTTTATTTTAAAGAGGGTTAAACATACAGAACCTTTTTATAATATATGGAACTCAAACTTGATTATCGTTTTTCAATATGAACGAAATTCTCAGCGGTGGCCATATAGTTTGTTACAGATTTATTTACATCCAAGATAGGACCTTTTTTCAACAAACTTTTTGTTGATTGGACGAAAAAAGGAATACTCGTAGACTTTTTCGGAAACAATCCTTTTGTCTCCGAATTAGTTAAAGGCCTGATGATACTGTAGGATTAAGTAGTTACCTAGGTCAAACATAAATAATTTTGACTTTTCAGTAAAATAAATTATTAAAACGTAGCCATGTCTTCATTCATTAATTTGCCAATGTAAGTTACTTAAGATTTTTCTGTTCATTCAGAAATAAATATATGTTTGACGTAAAAACATTATGACGATGTTATTCTATACTAATATTATACAGAGGTAAAATTTGTAAGTATGTATGTAGGGGGGTAATCTTTGGAACCACTGGTCGGATTACCAAAATTCTTTCACTTATTGGAGGATTAGAAATAGAAAAGAAAAAGGATTGCACTTAATCAAATGGAGCCGAGCGAGTAAAACCGCGCGGGAGTAGCTAGAATGGTAGAAAAGTATAGTTTTTGACATTTCAATATAAATAGCTATCGAATTTTGAATTTAGAACTATTTGGAAACTACTAATACATATATTAAAGGTTTAGTAACTTATGGACAGTGCAACCAAAGAAATTTTATTAGATTTATTTTAATACTAACTTCCGACAGCGGCTTCATACGCGTATAAAAGTAATGTAGGTATCCCGGGGGTTTTAAAAACAGCAGCATTTAAAGCTATACCTCGACTAAAGTACGTAAATTAAGTATAATTTATAGCCTATAGCACTCAGGAACATTATAGCTATCTATCCGATTATATCTATCCGACCAGCAGATCCAAAGATTACCCCCTGCATTACCTGTTTATATTAACATATTAACAAACTATATTTAAATAAGTGCTACTACGTTTTTAACTTTAATTTGTAATATTATTAACTATAAAACTCTGTAGATACAAACCTCCATCCTTTAGATAGGCATGAAAAAAGGAAAACACAGATTTTAATTAAGTTATGTATGTTTCATATATCTTGTAGGTTGGTTGGTTGGTTATGGTTAAAAAAACTTAGTAATTTTGTGACCATAAAACTTATGACGATATTGAATGCAACAGAAATAGAAATTTACAGACTATCTGTTAAAAATAACTACATGTATACAAAAGTTTAAGAAAAAAAATAGTCAGTAAAATTATAATAAAAAAAAACTTGTCTTCACTAACGACGGTTAACCAAACGGTGCCATCAACCACCCAGTGCTTCAAATAATGACGTATGCTATGCAAAATAGTGGTATTGACATGTTAAGGGTTCGATGGCCGGCCCGTTTCCTTCTGTTTCTTATTAAGAAGTTTTTGTTGAAGCAAAAACTGAATTTTTAGCTTTTTGCCAGGAAAATATCTTGCAGGTGGCTTTTGGTGTTACGTCAGTGTTGGAAGGTAAAAAAGATAAAAATGTACCATTTATATTGTTTTGGTTTTTAACATAAAAGAGTTAGCAGACTGATGATCTGAGTCAATCAAGCTTACATTATAAAACTGTATTATAACTTTGATCCTGAGCTTGGCTTAACGAAGAAAGGTATTTTACATGACATTCTCTACACATGAAATCTATAAATACATATTTTATAATTATACGTAGATATTGTTCATAGCTCAACCGATATGTATGAAATAAAGCCATTACTATTTCATGAATTGTTTTCAGCGGTAGGCCTGACCCGATTCGACCTTCTAAGCTTCAAGAAAAGAGCGTACTGCTTCTTAACAGGACGGAAAACTATTATAATTTTTTCGGTGTTATACTGCCTATGCCACTAATGTATTAACCATCAGGTAATAAATGTCTTCTCGTTTGCCTCCTATTCCATAAAAATAAAAATGGTAACCCGATACTGACACGACAAAAGTAATTTATTTCATATCAGAAGTATGTTGAAATATATCGAGATACCCTATGTGTTAATCCAGAGCATCACCTATGTAATACGGACCAAGTTTCAATTAAACTTGTCCACAAACTTCACATTTAAAACTTAATTGGTAGGATATTTGTAGTAATATAGTAGGATAGTGAGTAGGATAATAAGATTAATATCTTCCTAATCTTAACCAACTAAGAAACCAAGAAATAGGCATCTATTAAAAAAAAGGCATTGTTAAGTGATCATCAACATTACAACAAAAAGTGGTATTGATTTTATAATACTTATAGATGTGACAATTTTTACCGTTCCCGCGACCGATTTAAGTCCGGACCAATTTTTTCGACAGAACCGAGCTCTAGTAAATCTGAAATTTTCAAACCCTTGTCTCCAATCACCTGCCATGCATAGAGGTTGTGATAAAAACTCTTTTTACTCATACATATTCAGTCATTAAGTGACAAAGTTCAAACTTAAGAAATCAATGACACGTCAGCTGCATTTAATGACTTTTTAACAGTAGCAACCCCTTGTCAGTCGGCCATATTTGTTTTGCTAATGTCAAATTAGCATACCGTTTTGTTAATTAAGTCTGTAAGTTCTAACTGCTTTAAGATTACCCATTTATGGTATATGAATAGGATAGTAATTTTCCTGACATGCTGCTAATGGTTGCAGCTGTGGTTTCTTATTATGACATGCTTCATAATATTAATGAGTAGAATAGTATAGCATACAAATTACCTACTAAAGTTTTTAGTATGTTTGTTAGGTTTTATTAGTAAAAACTATTGAATAGATTTTAATGGAAATTGACACAGTGATAGATTATAGCATGGAATAACACATAAACTAATTTTTTGATAACGCAAACGAAGCTGCTTTTAGCAACTATTAGAACAAAATTCAAGTTGCCGTAACAATTGGTTTGTACCGCGATAATTAATTAATGAAATCCAAACTAATATTATAAATGCGAAAGTAACTCTGTCTGCCGGGCGGTCTATCTTTTCTTCACGCCTAAACTACTGAACTGATTTGTGTGAAATCTGGCATAGACATAGTTTGAAACTCGATAAAGGACATCGGATAGTTTTTAAACCAAAAATCTGCCGAAGTCAAATTATTTCAAGCGGGCAAAGTCGCGGGCAGAAGTTTTAATACAAATTACTTTAATATCTACTTAAATTCAATATATTTAGAATTTTCTTTTGTTTGTTTTCATAAAATTGAAGCTGTGTAAATATTAAATGCTGTATGCAGTTATAATAGGACCTCAGGTTTATACAATGTGTATTCTTAACATAATAATATTATGTATTTCTTAATCTGTTGTCTGTTAAGGCTTTAATTTTTTATTTTAGGATACTATAGAATCATGCTCATCATAACAATTGAAGATGACTTCTGTACATCCAGATTAAATTCAATGCCATCTTTACGGTTTTAATAACAACTAAAAAGTTTAAGTTGCAAGTTATAACTAAAGAAATAACAACAAACATTGCCATACATATACATAACGAAAGCTTACTTCATCGGCAAATATCTACAAACGGGGCCATCGAAAACAGACGAGCATTTGAAACGTCGGTGAAAAACTCGTTCAAAAGATTCAAAAGTAACATTCCTTCAAATCGCTTCCACTCTTTTGTACGTTTTAAGAAAGTTTTTTTAACTAAACGATTATTACGATCGAGCGGTCAATTAAAATGACTGCAACACACCACAGAAAAGGAATGCAGCCTCCGAAACTCTCAACTGAATTTGTCTCCTATTCTATTGTATTCCGAATGGCAAAAAAATGGCGAATCTCTCCGACAAAGAAGCGGTCCCTTTTTGTTTCGGGATACTTCATAAGTGTATCGCGATTAGAAAATTTTTAACCATCCAAAAATAATAATGACTTAAGTTTTGTTAGGCGACAGTTATTTTATGATTGGACCGTTTTTTTGTCCGCAACGTTTCGTGCTTTGCCCACTGTTATGTTATTGAAAATTATTTGGTAATTTAATGCAATGAATTTTATGTTTTTGTTGAATCAATAATCGAGTTTTGGGCTATTGTTTCGTTATTAATTATATTGTTGTTATTTAGTAAGCTTATTGTGATTATTTCAAAAGAAGTTTTCGGGCTTAATCAGGCATTAAAAGCTTTGAAATCAAAACACGTTTTGATTTAGTTATTAGCATAAAATAAAGACATTTTTAGAACTGATTTACAAAATTTAACTTTAATATCAATTCCATTACGGCTACCTTTTGTTTTTATCAGAACTGATTCTAAAGATACCATTTCCTTTAATTATTACTTCAAAATTCTCTTTAAAACAATAACCCCTGCTGTTAAGTTTAATTTCGTATTAATCAAAACAATCTCCATTTTAGTCTCCACATGGGATAACAGATAAAAATTGCAACTTTTTAAAATTCGAACGCGAGACACAACCGTCAAAGATGCCGCTGTCAATATATGCGAATATATTATCTGTATTATACTTTTACAGATTATAAATTTTATAATACTAAGAAAATGATAATGGATTTTATTTTAAAATAAACGCTTTGTATTTGTTGAAATTATAAACCTTTTTTCAGGATAGAAACATTAGATATAAACTGTTTTAAATACTTTATAATGACAAATTATAGAGACTTTACCTAAGTATTTAAATTATAAATTAATATTTATTTATATGTATAATTTTATATGTATTTTAATGTAAATTAATATGTATATTATAATTTGTTTTCTGATTTCCGCAAGAAATTCCGTAATATCTTTTCTATTTTTCTGTTTTTTTTTATATAATCATATTGTAGAGTTTGTGTATTTTAAACAGCACTAATAATGTATAAAATACTTTGAGGTCACACAGTGGCAGGCACACCATACTTACATCTATGTTTAATATTAATCTACGTAGGTAGGTACTAATTCTAACGAATAACAAAACTTTTTTCTTAATCTCAAATCCACCCAAAGGCAGGTTAGTAGAAAATGCATAATATAGGTACATTATGTCCATCTCATGTAGGTATAAAGTTTTGTGCTAAAGCTATTTAACACTTAGAACGCCATGTCGGACAATGCTGTCCGACGCTAGCGGAGGGTTAGCTTTCAACAGTTTTTGTCGGCAGTCAAACGCTTAATAAATAAATACCTAAATGCATGTAAGTATGTATGTAACAACATAATTTTATGGTATAGTTACTACCACATCCGTATCAACAGTCATCTACTATACAATGAGCATTTGAGCTATTGTCTTTATCTCCACTTGTATAGATCGGAGATTGCAGTTTAAAGAGTTCATGTTTTTTAGAAGGTTTTGATATCCACCTTTTCCAAATATGTAGTTCTTATGATAAATATTTTAACGCTATCCATAGCGAAGAAAAACCGACAAATAAAGAAATAAAAACTACTATGAAAGACTTTTGTACGCGTTACGCATGCACCTACAATGACCTACATATACATGCACACTTTAAAAGCAAAATATCAAATACATAAATATTTTTATATTCTGCTATTTCACGTAGGTTTATATCATAGGAAATGAGCCTATTGCCATATTATTATATCGAGTTTACAACTTCAGAGTTCATACCTCTTTGAAATTATGGGAGAGCCATGCTTTGGCACGAATGGCTGAATGGCTGGCTCGACCGGAGTGATACTACGGCCTCACAGAAAACCGGCATGAAGCAACCCTTACGTTGTGTTTCGCCGTATGAGTGAGGTTACCGAAGGCCCAATCCTTTCCCGACTCCCCCCTCCCATTCTCAATCCTCAAATCCCCTATCCCTAATAATCCACAAGGCACTTGTACCTATTTACTCGTTTAGTACTACGAGTGTCCATGGGCGGCGCTGATTGCTTACCATCATGTAATCTGTTTGCCAACCTATGACATAAAAAAACTGAGAAATTATAAGAAACCGAAAATACACACCTAGGTATAACACTTTATCAGCCCCGAGACGTCTTGTTCTTGTCAAATAGCAACATACTAAGTAAAAACGATTAAAAAACTAAAGAATTTCTTAAGAATTACGGGATTCATTAGCAAAAAGGTTTATCGTAAATCGAAACAATCATGTGGCCGAAAATGCGATGCGCATTGAAGTTTTTAAAAAACGAACGCGCCCCTCTATGGTCAGTGCACGAAAAAAAATAAAAACAAATTGAAAAAATCTGCGGTCAAGATCGAAGTTGTTGTGTATTCAGAGTTCCGTAAGATTATTACGTATTTGCAATTGATTTTGTGATTCTTTTAAGAAAGTGGCTATATTCTCTCAAGAAATTTTAATTACTAAAATAAACGTTGCTTAGAATCTTTAATAAATTACCGTTCTGCCATATTTTAGTAACTCAGATTAGCACATAAATGATTATACTTTAACACAAAATTAGTCGTACAGAAATTAACTGACACAATCTAACCAACAAAACACAATAAAATATGCTCAACTACAAACACCGGAACCAACACTATTCACAGTCAGTTTTTTACTTCGCCCCACGGAACTCTAAAAATCGAACTGTCAAAATGGTTCGCAGTAAATTTTGCCGCGGCCGCCGCTGATTGGTCAAGAGTCGAGGGGGCGTGGTCAACAATTGAAATACAGGTCTGTTTATTTATGAAGAGAAGTTGAATTGTTTTTTGCTAAAAGAGGAGAAGGAGGGTTACAAATAGCAAGAAATTCTACTTTAAATATATTTAAATAACATATAAATAGCACCCACTAAAACTATAGGTAAAAAGTTACAGCACGCTACAATTGTCAAGCATTTAAATATGTGATCGAATCATTTCAAAGCGATTTTTGTTGGTGCGGTTCTAAATTTTAAATGTTAAGTAGTTATACATGTTTTGTTTTTAATTAAGTATTTAATGTTACTTTGCGTGGCATGACTAATGATCTTCTTTTTTTCTATTTTTAAACGATGCCTCTTTCTAAGTTATTTACCTGTGCATGGATGACGTACATATACAAACTCCTAAATTTTCTTATACAAATAACAACTCAAGCCCAGATATATTTTACTCTCTCGCAAAAGCCTTTTTAACAGTTTTACCTTTTTATAGTAGAAAATACTATACCTACATTTTATTTTACTTTTAGCCGAGACTATCAGACTGGAGAACAAAAACCTCCCCTATTAACCTCCTTTTAACCCTATCTGCCCAAAATTCTTTACGCTTTAATCAATGAATCAAAGGTGGATAAGCGGTGGTAAGCAGTAATTCTAGTATTTCTTCGGAAGCTTCGGAATATGAAACAATGAATTTATTTTTGTAAACAGGCTATAAAACAGCATTTTTACACGGCAAAATTATATGTAAAGAACTAGATGAAGCTGGCATAAAAACTCCTTGTCCAAATTTACCATAATTAAACTGTAAAAAAAAAATAGTAAAAGCAATAACTCACCAGGTTCGTCAACTTTGTATGACACATCACAGGATCCATCCTTCCTGTCCTTGAAGTCAATCTCGGCCTTGCTGGGACCTTCAAGGGAGATGGCGAGCTGACCAGCTCCAGCTTCACGGGTCCAAACGTTGAATTCATTGAAGCGTCCAGCTTCTCCTCTCTCCAATCCTGGACCTCCAGCCTTGACTAAATGGGCTCCGGAATCCCTGAGGGGACCTACCGTGAACTGGAAGGGTGATCCTGGAAGGAAATGAGGGCAGTTAGAAAGCGGCAGTAATTTATTTATTTATTTAATTATTACCAACATACAACTATTATCACAGATTTTCCTAATACAATAGTGTAGTAACATTACAAAGATACACATAGGTAACACAAAATCAAAAACAATACAAAGAAACCTCACATATTTATTATAAAATAAAATAATATTCAAATGTAATTTATTCGCCTGTTTTTCGTGAAATCATTTTTTATTTGTCAGATTTTTTGTAGAACCAACACTGAATGTAAAATTTGATGAATTCGTCAGAATTATATTGTTTTCTAACGACATGATCGATTTGATTACAATGTTAAGGATTTCTTTGTGTCTTATTTAAGTGAAATAAGTATTTCTCTAACTTATTTAAGTACTGAAAATAAGTATTGTATTCGACGCAAAAACCTACGACGTCTGAATCTCTAACTGAATTTTTAGAACAATCGTTATTTAAATTTCGAAAGTGGTAATAAAATCGTACCTACATATTTAAAAACAAAAAATATTAACGTCACTGAGAAAAGATGAGATGAAGAGAGATTCAAAGAAAAGTGTTTTGTCTGTGTAATTTTAACAATGCAATTAAAATATTGAATTTGACGAGTTTTCTACTAAGAACAAAAAGTATATTAAAAAAAAATTACACTTACCAGGAATATGAATTTCCCTGTACTTGACAGAGACTGTGTGGACGCCCAGCTCCTTAGGGACGAAGTGGACGGAGTAAAGACCGTCTTCCACCTCCTGGATCTCAGCGTCTTCGGAGACACCTCCAGGGCTGGTGACGGTGGCGGCCAGGTCGAAGGAAGTGATACCTGTCATTTAGAAAAAAATAATTATTTAGACATAGGTATAAGTAATTTATTATTTTTATAAACTCTAGATTTCGCAAGCTTTGATATGATTTCCTTTGTGGTCAGTTTTTATTTGTAAGTGCAAAAAGATTTGATTGTGTTTTGTTTGTATTGAACATGCTCCGAAACTACTTGACCTATTCGAAAAATTCTTTTACTGGGGATAAGCCGGCGAACATTGACTATAAACTACGCGAACAAAAAGCCGTTATACACAACTTAAAGTTTTCGTATGTATTTATTTTATTAATAATGATTTTCCCATCCAAAAATCGAAATGTGATATGTCGGCAAACGAGCAGACGGATTACCTGATGGCAATCAGCGCCGCCCATGGTTACCCGCAACAAGAGTCACGAGTGCGTTGTCGACCTTTTTGGATTTAGGGATTTGGAGATTTAGGGACTGGGGGGGAATCATGAATTGAATTGGAATCATGAATTGGAAGATTGGGCCTCCGGTTTAGTGGTTTTTCTCTTTATTTGAGGAGGGGGTGGGGAATCATGAATTGACATCTCCCGCCCTGGGTGGAGTGAGGGGAAGTATCAGATTCTTGGTGACTAAAAACCTTTCACTGTTCTGACAGTTCCTTCTCAAGGACAAGGTACCTTTTGCGTTTGACCCCGGCCTAGACCAGCGCTTGGGGGCAAGCTTCTAGCTAGGCAACAGTCTAGAGCTTATAATAAATACTATTTGTGTCACTAAACAGCTGAGGTACTGACAGATTAAGTAAGTATTTTGTAAGTTTGTAGTAACAGCTATAGGCCGAAAAATCGGAAAACAAATTCGTCGTGGAACTTTGAAATTTAAACTTACCAGGCATTTTGAAGGTCAGCTTGCAGTTGGTGCCGACCTCCGTCAGAGGAGCAGGGTCCCTCTGCCTTTGAATCTTCTCTCTTTGCCTGTTGCTGCCCTCACCAGTGACCTGGGCAACAGAAGATAATAAATAAAAGTATTGAAAATAAATAAAAGGATTGTGTAATGAAAAACATACAAATTCACACACACAAGCCACGAAACAACAATTTATGGATCACACAAAGTTTTGTTTCGGGCTGGAATCAAACCCGCGTGCGACTGGTTGCAGCCTTTGCGCCAACCGCCAACGCGTTTATAAATAATGTTAATAATATAATTTGGCCGTAACCACATCTCCAAGACCGCATTATGACGTACATGTTGTTCGTGGGTATGAACAAGCTAGAAAACATGGTATACTAACCTTAACGGTGAAGGGGGATCCTTCAACATGATGATCAGCAAACTTCAGGTTGACGATGTAGTATCCTGGCTCGGTGGGCTTGTAGCTGATGGCCAACACACCATCCTTGCTGTCTGCACACTGGATTTCAGCCTTGCTGGGACCTGGACAAGAAGAAAATGTGATATGAAGGTCTTTGTTTTCAGAAGAATTACACGAAGTAGGTTCAACAGCTTTTGACGTAAAATCGGGAAATCTAAATGGAAAAATAAAATTTTATTACTTATAAAAAATACAAAGGAAAGTATTACTGTTCCTGGTTCTGTATTTAGGCACCTTTTTTCGGTGTATTTGCTTTTAAACAAATACACAAAACCCACACACATTCAAAATATTCCATTGGCATTTTAAGTGTGGGAGATCCATGTTTCGGTACGAATGACGGATACCACGGCCTCACAGAAAACCGACGTGAAACAACCACAGGGTTGTGTTTCGCCGTGTGAGTAAGGTTACCGGAGGTCCAATCCTTCCCCTCCCCAATCCTTAATCCAAAAAAGGTCGGCAACGTACTCGCAACTCCTCTGTTGCAGGTGTCCATGGGCCGTGCTGATTGCTTACCATCAGATAATCCGTCCGGTCTATGCCGAACTAGTACATAAAAAAATAGCATCCGCACGAATTGACTTTGTTTAATTAAGTTCAAATTATTTAAGTATTTATTATGTTTTCAACTTACCTTCGATGGAGAGTGAGAGACCACCGTAACCAGCGTTCCTGGTGTCCACACTGAAGGTGTTCTCCGAATGAGTCTTGCCTTCCTTCAGGGCGTTGCCAGAAACCTGCAGAAAAGAGCCATGAGTAATACAGATTCACCAATTTCTTCCAAAAGAAAAACATTGTAACGCTATTCTTGAATGAAACTCTATAATGCCATGCCATGAAAATCTGCCATCTAATCTTTTGCACTATCACGGCTTTTACTCTTCAAGGGTAAGTAGAGATGCACATAACAAAATTATAATTCCGTATAATACGGTAGTTTCCAACTAGTCAAATTCAATACTTTTATCCAAATGTCAACAATTATAGTTTTCTATGAAATTTGTATGAAGCTCCAAATTTTGGCATCAAAAAGCCTAATTATTATTTAAAAATTTTCAAAAAAAAAATTGTATCTCAACATATCGATAGAATGAGAAAGTTTCGAAAAACTAAACAAACCCTAAAAATATTTTGCCGGCCCGCTACTCCGTGAATAGCGCAAGCAGTATTTATATTTATTAATATGAACGCAGAGCAAGAATAGGTAAAGAAGAATGATATGTCTCATGTACTTTATTTTTTACTTAAGGCTGGTTTTTTAACGGTTTGATAAAAGTTACCTGGGGAATAATTATGCTGCTGTCACATCAGAATGTTTGTATAAGACAGTGACAGCAACAATTTTATTCCTCAGATAATATTTATCTGACTATTGAAAATCAGCTCTTAGTCAAATTCCCAATTTTCGACAATGTATACTGATAGATCAAATAGCATAAAATATTTTATTAACTGATCACCAACCTTGACTTTCTTGGCGTCACCGACTTCCTGAGCCAGAACGGTAATGTTGAATGGCGAGTTCTGGATGTGGACTCCCATCTTCTTCACAGAGACGATGTGCTGACCAGCCTCGCGAGGAGTGAAACTGATGCCGATGTTACCAGAGGGAAGACGCTTGAGGAAACAGGGTTCTTCTAAGCCTGAGGGTGCCTAGTAACAAAGAAAAAATCATTTAGCTAATTGCTCATTGAAATGAAGTAAGGAAGGTTATTTTCTAAATTACAATAAGGTTCCTATTGCACAACGAAAATTCTAGCTAAGTATAAAACCGAGTAAAGAAAGTTTGTCTTACCTGGATGGAAGCGTTAAGCGTACGGATGTCATTGTCATTGATCTTGCCAGGGAGAGTCACTTCACTGCAGCTGCCTACAGAGATCTGGTTCCTCTTGCGACCCTCACCGGTGACCTGGAAGGAAGATAAGAGGAGAATGCAGAATCAAAAGAGTACATCATTTCTGCATCACATCATCACACCATCAGCGTGGTGTGCCCGTTACTAGCAAAGGTGCCAGATGGAGAAGATTGGAGCATTAATCACCAAGCTTGCTCAAGGCTAATTGGCGATTTCAAACGAATTAGAAGTTATAAGTACAGGTTTCTGTTTGTCAGTGGGCTCTAAATTCTTTTCATTCTAACATAAGAAGTACATATAACTCGGAAAAAGTCACATTGGTACTTGCGGTCTTTGGGCACCCTCGCATGCAAATCTGCATTGCCCAAAGAAAAAGATACTTACTTATTTTATATTGTACAACCATTTGAACTCCCACGGGTAAGAAGACTTGGCATTTTATTGCAGTTACAAATAGGCTTTACTTAAATAATCAAATATTAGGTTGCTTATATCCATAAGCATGCAGGCATGCTCCATAATAGGTCGCATTATTCTTTACCACCAGACGTGATAGTGGCCAAATATCTGCCCATTTCGAAATAAAAAAAATACCTTGGCGGTGTATGGAGATCCCTTGATGTGCTTGTCTCCGAACCTGACGGAGATCTTGTACTCTCCAGGAGCGGTAGGCAGGTAGGACACGGAAACTGTGCCGTCTTTGTTGTCATGGCAGGTGATCTGGAAGAAGACCATAGAAATTCTTAAGTATAAGTGCATATACCGCCGTATTTGGAGTAGTTTTGTTCAAACTGGTACATAACACAATCTTGTACGTCCTTTCATTTCCTTAAGGATCCAAAAATGTTGAAAAAGCTTATAAAATATCAGGAAATATCTATATATATAAAAATTAATCGCGAAAAGGTTTGATAAGCGCGTAACTCAATAACGCCGAAATCAATTTTGCCAATTCATTTTTTTAATTGTTCGTTATTTTTAGGAAAACTTTATTACGGAACAAAAGTATAGGGGATATCAGTTATTAACAATTATTTCGGTGTTTTGACATAAATGACTAACGCCGGGGTAGTCGGATACCCGTGAGAAGCAGCTGGGGCGGACCGCTAGTCTTTCAAAATTTATTATTCTAACAAACAGAAGAATCCTCCTTTGCTAACTGCCATGCCTTCAAAAGACTTTAAAAAACATTTGTCAATAGAAGTTACCTCAGCTTTGCTAGGTCCCTCCACAGCCATGGACAGTCCACCGGAGCCTGCACCCTTGGTGCTGATGGTGAACTCGCTAGGCTCTCCACTCACGCCATTCAGAAGACCAGGACCGTAAGCCGTCACATATCCTGATGATATGGAGTCCACGTGGAACTTGTAGGGTGAGCCTGGAAATGAATAAATTTGGTAATGTGAATAAATAAAACATGATTAGTTTATTTCATGAAGCTTTTGTACCAAGTGATCAGGCAAGGAATAAGGTGCAAACTTATGTAGTAGTAGAAGTTTGTAGTAGTGTTAATCGATATAAAATATTCGTTTTTTAAAGAGTAACAATTGAGTTTTTGTTCGTTCTTTTCCATACGAATCTACAATTTGGAACGAGTACCAGCTTCTCTGACGAACAGACTGATGGGCTTACTATTTCATTTTGACGTTACAAAAGTACCTATTTATGGTTTAGGTGGAATAAATGATTTTGACTTTTGAAAATCAAAAATCTATGTAATCCGCCATTTAGATAATATAAAAATATTCGACACATATTTCGGTATGATTCAGATGACAAGGTCATGAGCTCACATAGCGGGAGAGCTGCCCACGCTAGGTCTTCCGGTCCATGGTTAAATAGTTACCATATTATTAGCACTTAGGTACGGGGAAACAATGGATGCAAATCGCTAGTTATCATTTGACTCTAAAGACTAAGAGAGCGAACTTCATCCAGCTGTGGACGTCTTCCTTCTAATGATAATAATGATTAGCATGGCTTATCATTTCACACTGACCTTGGACATGTTCTCCATTGTACTTGACGAAGAGTTCGTGGATTCCTTCTTCCCTTGGCTCATACTTGATGCTGACTGTTCCGTCTCTGTTGTCTTCTATCTGGGGCTGGTCTATGTGGCCGGACGGCATTCTGACTTCGGCTGCAAGAAGAGAAGGATTGACGGTCAACTTGTGTTCATTAGATGTTATATGCAGACTATGTACTCGTTTTTAATTGGACCATTAAATTAAGTTTTTTTAAAGGACTGTCGTAATATTGAAACATAATTGTACTACTTTTAAAGTCTAAATTGCTATGATAACCTTTTGAGAGTAATCTTTTTCTACGTTTGGCTTCTACGATAGAAAAACCAAGAAATTTGTATCTCTAGCTTTTTTTTATTTTGGCCTTAAATAAATAATTTGAGTTTGACTTTTAACAGTTTGAAAAAAAAACTTTAGACTCAAGTAATGTTGTGTACAAAATAGGTGTATGATATGTATTAGATAATTGCGTGTGCGCAGATGATGTCTTGAGCACTTAGTTATATTCGTCTTTTTTTATAAACAAGGGTCTTAAATATTACCTTGGCAACAAGGCTGAAACAGTTGACGAGAATCAAAATATCCGAACCCACGGACAAGCTAATAAAATATATTTATAATATCAAAAATAATAATATATATTTCGTTATTAGAATTATTTATGTCACGACCTTGGATTGAGGAAATGCGATGACCTTAAGACTTGAAGGATTGTGTGAAAAATTCTGTCGTTTTCTATACATAAGGTACTTAGATGAAGTTGTTAATAACAAATTTTCATTCAGAATTATTGTTTATTGCATTAAATGAGTCTATACCTGCAAAAGAGACAATAGCATATTTTTTTCTAAGTAGAATAGAATGTTTCTTCCATCAATCATTAGAAATATAGTATTAAACTCAATCGGGAACTTGGTAAGCACATGTATGTATGTGATGAAATATAATACTTAAAAAAAATCTATACTGTTCGTTTTCTACCTGGCTTTTAACGTGTTATAGGGCATTGTGTTTTTTTTGCTCAATAGCACAGACAGGACACAACATTTTTCTTAAAAAAGTTTGCCAAGGGTCAAGTATGTTACTGGAAGAATACGATATAGAATATTATACATACTAGTAAAACGGTATTTTTTACTTAGTGAAATTTTCAGTTTCAGCACAACAAATATTATTGAATACAGGGCTAACCTAACTTCGTCGTCGTGTAATATTTTCAATAGTTTTTGTCCAAAAAATAAAAAATGTGAAAAAAATGCCAGTGAAAAAAATACATTACAAAATAAATAAATACCTATGTAGGTAAATATAAAAACATAAATTGTTCTATTTTCAAAATACAGGTTGTTCGAAAAAAAAACGAAACGAAAAAATACAAACCTCTTCTTGTGTCGATGTGGTAAACGCTAATAAAATTGAGCGGCGTAAAGTTGTAACCAAAACCGTGTTTGTTGAAGGCAATCTTATGACATTCGCCAAAAACAATAGGAATTGCTTCTTTATCAATTTCAGATACTGAGAAATATTTTCTAGTTCCGTCGAAGTAAAACGTTGATAGTTCCCGCCAAATTTTCTCCTCCTTATCGTTGTTACCAACGAGTGAATTCCAGAGGTCACTTACGAACGCCATTTATGTCAAAATAGGTGACTTCTATCACAAAAATATTATACCTATTAATTTTGTTCAGTGTATTTGTCAAAGTGTCATTGTTTTATGCTGTATTATGTTTGTGTTTTGTTGGTCCCTGCTTTTGGAATAAAAATATATGAATTCCGCTGTTTGTTCGGTGCTACGATATTCGAGTTCAATTGTTTTCAATATTTATTTGGGTCAGTGGTTATTATTCACAATACCTATGTATCTGATATTTGCGTTAGTTACTAGGTACCTACTTATTTTTTTTTTTTTTAAAAAACGTTGCCCCACACTAGGATTTTCTCCTGTGTCGTGGGTGCGTTTACAAACATACAAATTCACATACACACATGACACCCAGACCCGGAACAACAATTTGTGGATCACACAAAGAGTTGTTCCGTGCGGGAATCGAACCCGCGACACGTTGCACGGCAGCCAGTTGCCCAGCCACCGCGCCAACCGTGCAGTCAAAATAAATCTTAAATTTTTGAGGCAAGAGTTATTGAAATACATAGCCTTCTGTTTCGCCGTGTGAGTGAGGTTAAAGGAGGCCTAATCCTTCCCCTTCCCCTCCCCAATCCCTAAATCTTCGATACCCTATTCCCCAAAACGCACGAGTAACTCCTCTTGTGTTGCGGGTGTCCATGGACGACGCTGATTGCTTCCCATTTGATAATTCCTCTAATCATTTCCCGCTCTCCGACTTAAAAAAGAACTGGATATTTTTACACAAATATAATAATATAATGATTCATTACTTCGTCAATTTTCCACAGCTGTTCTCCAGATATATTTTGTAAAATATTTTCTAAAACCAACTACATAGGTATGTACGAATAAAATTAAATGCATGGAATCTGATTCGTCATAGACTACGTAGGCAGAATATTTCAGAACTATAACATGTTGTAATAAAAAAAAAACGAAACGTCAAAACATTGAAGATAAATGATTTCATAGCATAAGTATGTTATAATAAGATTCTAAATTGCTTAAAAGAAAAGTATTTCATTGAATAAATAAGAATAAAAAATAATGTAATATTTAATCTATTGTTTTAATCATTTAAAGGCTTATTTTATTCTACATTTAAAACAAAAAAAAATATTTTATATTTTTATAAATTTTGAGGTTATTTTTGCGTCATACACTGAAAATGTATGTTGTCTGAACATCATACACAACTAAACGGAGAATTTTAATGTCTGTCTGTCTAACCTACATATTTACTAGTGTCGCAGTTATTTTAATATATAATAATTTATTTCCGGGCTTGAAAAAAAAACGCTTTGAAGTGGGAAAACGGGTTTCGGGCCGCTTCATTTACACGAGGCCTGATTTATCTTAAGACTAGAGAGCTCTTAAGATATTTTTATTGACTGCTTCTACAAAACATCAATTTGTATGGAATATCCGGGGACACGAGATCCTTTGGGTATTATAAAACACACTGTTTATAATTTTAACATCGCAACGCATCATAAAAATAGTTGGCAACCCTTGTCGCGTTTTATATTAGAAAAAAAAACCGGTTATTTTGCGTCATAATATATTGAAATGTTTATGACCTCTGGCCGATGACAATTTCATCGGGAGCCAGATGTCTTCAACCATTTAGCACTATTATGTTTTTATATATGACCAATAAAATTATTTATTTAATCGCTCCTACATGATTTTTAGATATAAGGGCGTTATTAATAGCTTCTAAATACATGATATTAGCACATCATTTTTATGTTGTATTTTATTTATAGCCAACCTGTAGACGAGTGTCGTAAAAACTCAGAAAAATCTATCTTTTATCAACTTAAAATAAAGTTAAATATAAAAGTATTTTGTTTGTTGTTTGATGTACCAATAAACAAAATACTTTTTTATTTTGGTTTTGTATTTCGATTACTCAAAAATTTTCGAATAATTAAAAAAAAAATCCATTTTTTTCGTACACATACACTTTATTTTCTAATATTGTTTATTATGGTTGAATCTATTTAGTTCAAATTTATATCCATCATTCAGTAAAATATTAAATATTGCCAGTAACAATAACGATTCCCATTTCCCTACTCGACTTTTACGATGCAAGGCAAGCCCACGAATGAGCACAGATTAAAAAAAAATTTTTATTACACATAAATTTCGTTGACGTATAAAACAATAACATAAATATTATTTATTTTTAGTAAACCAGCTGTTGATTGTTGTTGTGTCTTATATTATAATAAACCAAATTTAATATTTTTATGTTTTCTATTTAGTAGTTATTTCGCAGTATATAATAGACTGGCACTTTGCAATGTTTACTAGTTCGTCACCAGTCTTTAAGAACCCGGTGGGTCCACTACAGTAATCACTACGGTTGCTTAAGGCGGATTGGCGATTTCAAATTTAGAATCCAAACTATCCGAACTAATATTATAAATGCGAAAGTAACTCTGTATGTCCGTCTTTTCTTCACACCTAAACTATTGAACCTATTTGTGTGAAATTTGGTACCGACAGACATAGTTTGGAATTCGAGAAAGGATATAGGATATTTTTTAAACCAAAAAACTGCAGGAAGCCACTATTCCACTATTCAACAATGTATTTTTTTATGTATCTTTCCCCTACCCCAATCCGTTCCCTTTCCCAAAATCTCCAAATCCCTAATCCCTAAATGTCGACAACGCACTCGTAACTCCTCCGTCGTTGCGGGTGTCCATGGGCGACGCTGACTGCTTACCATCAGGTAATCCGTTTGCTCGTTTGCCGACCTATCACATAAAAAAAAATCAGGCGTGGTGCTGCCACGTATTATTAAAACACATCAATTCCCCGTGACGTCCGACTGATAACTACATTATACAAAATAATTACCTACGTAGTAGATATTTAATAAATATTTTTTAATGTTTTCCTGTCCCGAAAAACAGTCGTTAGCAAGAATTTCTTGGCACACGTGCTACCAATAAATTACTATCGTAAATATTATCGATATATGCCAATCAACACGTCCAAATGATGACAACCTGTGCTCCTAATTATATTGATTATGAAGAAAATATTATTCTAGTAGCTTTTACTGGAAATGTCGAGCAAAAATTTTAATATTCAACGATTGAGAAACAACGGAAAATGTTTAATAAAACACGTGGGGATGAAAGACCTGGGTGTCAAAGCTGTCGACTGAGTGAGTGGGATAGTGTGTGAGAGAGAGCGAAAGAGTATAGAGAGGATTTTACAACTAAGCCACATTTAAACATCAAATTATGAAAGTCCTTCAGTCTGCCAGTCAATGAAAAAAAGCGAGAGACTCCAACAATACTCTTGACAAAAACTCCATCGATATAGTAAAAAAAACGAATTTAAAGAGATTTTAATAATATACATGAAAATTGTAAGCCTTATTAAATTACACAGTTACAATTATTGTAATATTATGTAAACATACACACTAAGTATCGCATACCTCTTATCATCATACTACGCGAT